AGTGAGAGATATAATGTATGATTGTGAACTGCTAAGTACCTAATTACCATTATCCACATCACAATAGTACTGTTTTTAAATAACGGCGTGTGATAATCGTAGTGTCGCTACTCACTGCGATTTGTTTAACGCAGCCAAGTAATCTCAGCGAGTATGGTGTAAGTCGAAAGTAACAAGCGACATTGAATTCACTCGTCTCTTATTTATTTTATAAATAATGTAAGCTTTTTACTTCCTTTAACTTAATGATACATTCTAAATCGAATTTTAATTATAACTTATGTTATAAACATATATATTATGTTCCATTGTAATTGGTTTGGGGCAATGAAAATGACACACGTATGACATTTTTACAACACTACGTCCTCATTGATATATTATATAGACTAACCTGCATATATCTCTTAAACAACGCCCAGGATCCAGAAGCGAAGTAAGTAATATACATTTACATAAAACACTTTTCAATGGTTTAAAACACGATATATATTTAGTTATAAGTTAGTTAACTTTTACAATTAATTTCAACTACCACTACTCTATAACATATTTAGCATTTTACACCGTCAACCGTAAGTCAATTTTATAGGTAACGATGATTTCTTACATTTTTCCTTTATTAAGCAAGTTAGAGGTTAATAAACTATAAAACGCTTACGCTTCGTAATTGGACCAAGAGTGGTGTTCTACATGTTAAAGTTCTCTAATGTACACCATTAAAGTAGGATTGACAGCAAACTAGCAACTCAGTTGTAACTACCAACATTTACCTATTTTGTGGGTTACTGGGATGACTGAAATAAGTGGTTAGATAAAAGATAGATCTATGCATGGTTAGTGCCTACATTGAACAGATAAATATGGGAATAGGTATATTAATTTGCACTATGATTTACTTGCATTTGACATATGCCGATAAAACTTTCTTCTTTCAATATTTCTCTATCGTTACTTTGTACTATCCAATTCTAAACGCTTGCTTAAGCTCTAAAATATAATAAGAATTATCTCCTTCTTTGTTTTGTCTGAATTAATTGCTTGAAAAGATGAACGAGAGAATAAGGACTCAACGGCAATGTACTTAGCGATAAACTATAAACATATGAATGTACTTTATTTAACCAGAAAACATATGTGATTGTGTTGTGGAAATTAGCAGATTTAAGCCGACATTGAGACAACTGCTTCAGTGTTAATTTCCAAAGTTACTCAAGTAGAAAGTTCTACTTATTCTACTGTAGCGTGGTACTTTGTATAACAAAGCCGCTCAACTGACGTGTATCACAAAATCAAGATATCATAGTTAAAATTCATCATCATCATTCTGCTTTTATCACGGTAGACATCAGTTCCGCTCCAGATACATTTGTGATTTATAAATTGTAATATCTATTGCACCTACATTTAAAGCTCAAAAGTTTGATGTGTAGTCTTAAAAAGTACTAGAAGGAAAACTAGTATCAAGTAGCACTTTTATTCCGAAAAAGAAATTCAGTTATAATTATCAAGATTATTGCTTCTTTATATTATATTTGGTAACTCCTGTATTTGAGTGGCGTGGACACTTAAATATTGTCCTTAGTGTAAACTTAAATGATTTCGTTAAACTGATTCTATTTAGAATACTATATAAAAAGTTAGAAGTAAACGATCATGACGAATTACTAGTCTCAATTAATTTATAAATATATGTAGCACGAATTGAGGTCTATAAGACAAAGAAAGAAAGACAGACATGGTTGATTTGAGGATTTCATTGTACAGAATGGATGGATAAAATGCAGCTCTGTATTTTAATGTAGACTTTAATTCCTATGGTACTGAAACTGAAATTTAAGGAGTGCTTTAGTGCAAAGGCAGGACCTGGCCCGGCATTCATTCATCTAACCAATTGAGCTACCGTGTCGCTTACCTCATAATCATATTTCTTCATTTCCTCTCGCTTAATATCTCAGAAATCTAAATAAAACCACGAGGTACTTTTAGCATTCCGTGGAATTTCGTCTGTTACCTCCTATACTACATAATTTATAATAATGTGGTACTGTCACAATATTTACCCAGTTTAAGTGGGTTAGTGGGATCACGAGCGTCCTTTGTGAAGCTTTCTCCCGCCTGCAGCGTGTACTTATATAATTTATACCGTCATTATTATAATATACCGAGACTCAAACGGTAAATGACATTAAAAATTCGGTATTAATTTGATTATTTATTTTTATGACAGCAGAGTAAAGACAATAACAAGGTTTAGTTGATGGAACCGCTGTCGATCTATTTTGGTTGTGAAGAGTTGTTATTTGGCCAACGAAGTAAGTACATCAATTGTAAGTAGTACAAATTTAAATAAAACACTTTACCGGTTTAAAACGCGATATATATTAGTTAAACTTATTTGAAAATTATTTTAACTACGACGACGTTTCGGATGCTTCGCAGCAGCCGTGGTCACGGGTCACCAATATATATCGAGTTTTAAACCGTAAAAGTGTTTTATTTAAATACATCAACTGTGTTTTTGTTCTGGCGTTGAGAAAGTTTTATTTTGTATAGTGCCTTTAGCTTATTAGTAACTTGTATCAAGTGAATTAAAGCACGTTTAATTCGATTTATTATTTTATAAAGAACAAACTTTCTATTTCATTTTACGTTGTATAATTTCCAGCTTACACTTCGACCTAAAATCAACTTGTGTGGGTAGTTCTACGAAAAACGATTGCCAACTATTCTGCTACAATCAACCAGCATTTCCTTAATCAATACAATGTAGAAAATGTACCGTTAGTACCATAATAAGTCGGTGGGTGTGGAACAATTAATTACTGCATGAATTGAATGCAACAACACTTTATTGTATGGTGTGAGAAATTAGAAGCGTTTAACGTTTACAACGCTAAGTATAGGTGTACTCTAAATGGGCCTATGAGACATGAGGCATGGGGCAAATAAATTTATGTTACTGATCGATTTTATTTACAGTAAATGTCTATCTAATATTAACTCGTAGGAACGACGGGACGCCGACGACGTCGTAGATACTGTTACCCACGTCGTCCCGCGTAATTTACAAAGTTTAAAAGGTAGTTTGCAAAAATATTTTTTCATACCCAAAATCTTACTATTACAAGCGGACGGAGACGCGGGCACAGCCACTCCTGTGACTAATAGAAGCGGAGATACAGCGGGAAACGTGAACAGAACGGGGGATTTTTATCTCTGTAGGTTTCAGACGCGTACGCTGCGAAAACGGTTCAAGATTGTATGAAAGAATGATTTCCCTTTAAATGATCTAATAAAAAGTCCGGGACGCTATATGTCTATCTTTTAAGATTAACTAGCAAGAACGACGATAAGGGCTAACAGCTTAGGTTTATAAAGATGGTGCGGTTTGCAACTAACTTGGATGCCCGAAATAACGCTTCTCGCGAACGAAGTCGCTGGCACACCTAGTATTTTATACGATTAATAACAGACATCAACAAATTTTTGCAAACATACAAAGTTAGGTCTACTACTACTACTACTATAACAACATTATTATGTTGTTATATGTATAGGGCCAATGCATTAAATTATAATTTAAGTATGTGCAGTAAATAAATATATATTAGTAATATTTATGCAATAATAATTCTACTTTACCAGACATTAGTTTTGAAATTGAAGAAATTTGTTAAAATGGCAGTGATGTGCTAAGCTTGAACTCACGCGCACTATAAATGACTTTTTTGAGATTTAAGCACTGAGCGTAAGCCTAAGAATGTTTCTTTATGTTCTCACTAAATTAGTTCTACGTGGTGTTATATTTTAACCTTTACTCCGTTACACTGTTGCTATAGAACCTTCAGCTTAACTGTTTTGTTTATCGCGATCTGACTCCGTTGCTATCTGGGCCGTAACCATGCGAATTAATGAGACCCTAAATACCTGTGTATCTCAGTTTTGTTTATAAACATTATTTGGTTGGTTTATTGAAATGCTTTAGGTTTGAAAAATTTTATCAGACAACCATCTATTTACCTATAGACTGACTAATCTATCTATCTATGAACTTAATCGAGTTTCGGTGTCAGTCTGTGGATTCCCAAATATACAAAGCCAAAAAATGTCGACAGTGCATCTAATTTAGATGTTATATTATGTTAGTTATGGTATTTCACTCACCATGAAATAAACCTCATGCTTGTCTGTAGGTACTACTCTATTGTAAAAAAAATAAACTAAACCTACCGCGTAGCATCGCGTTGTATCCGACATTGATTTATATATTTTTTAATTATGTTTCATCTGTCAAGGGCCGTATCGGAGTTACAGTAGAGCCATTGAGTACAGCCACCCGTGGAGCTGTCAAAGTGACAACTGACAAGTCAAGATATCTCCCAACTGTCATGTTAACTTGACGCGTGTAATGAGTGCTTGCCGCGGACAATTATGAGGCGGGGCCTCTGTATTATGTTTGAATAATGCCCTGTGATTACCGCTTGTATTACGTCTGATTACACCATTTCATACATACTGATATCGTTTTTATTGACGATTTAATAACTATAACATTTTTTTGTCAGTAAGTTTTCAAAGGGCTTGTTGGTGAAAATTATTATCAAGGGGTTTGATCCCCACCGAGCCTGAATTTTATATAGGTCGAATCTTGTTTAAGTACGTTATATGACTGTATCATCTTCATTGAAATGAACCTCATGTTTGACTATTCTCCTATGTCATAAAAAGTTCCCTTTACAGTTTATACGTTAATGATTAAACATTTTACAATATATGCTAAATTATTTATTTAATACGTTATGCCACAAGGATTTTACACTGTAATATAGTTAAAGCAACATCATTTTATTTAAGTAACGAACTTAAGAATAAAAAAAGTAAAGATACTTTTATTCATTTATTTCACTGGTTAAATAAATTTACATTTATGCTCTACTTCACTATTCTGTGTCAGTTCTATAAACAGCATGTTACATTTTTTTTAATTACCGAAAAATTTAACTACTGGCAACATTTGCGATTTTTTGTATTTTCTGAAGAATTTGAAGAGCATTTGCAGTCTTCGCATTTCTTGAATCCTCCTTTACCGTCGCTGCAAACGCAAACACAACTTGCTCCCTTTGTATCAATACAGACACATCCGCCTTTGTCGCAGCAAGAGTTGGAAGAGCATTTGCAGTCATCGCATTTCTTGAATCCTCCTTGGCCATCACTTCCAACGCAAACGCAACTTGCTCCCTTTGTATCAATACAAACACATCCGCCTTTGTCGCAGCAAGCTTTGGAAGAGCATTTGCAGTCTTCGCATTTCTTGAACCCTCCTTTACCGTCGCTGCAAACGCAAACACAACTTGCTCCCTTTGTATCAATACAGACACATCCGCCTTTGTCGCAGCAAGAGTTGGAAGAGCATTTGCAGTCATCGCATTTCTTGAATCCTCCTTGGCCATCACTTCCAACGCAAACGCAACTTGCTCCCTTTGTATCAAAACAAACACATCCGCCTTTGTCGCAGCAAGCTTTGGAAGAGCATTTGCAGTCATCGCATTTCTTGAACCCTCCTTTACCGTCGCTGCAAACGCAAACACAACTTGCTCCCTTTGTATCAATACAGACACATCCGCCTTTGTCGCAGCAAGAGTTGGAAGAGCATTTGCAGTCATCGCATTTCTTGAATCCTCCTTGGCCATCACTTCCAACGCAAACGCAACTTGTTCCCTTCGTGTCAATACAGACACATCCGCCTTTGTCGCAGCAAGAGTTGGAAGAGCATTTGCAGTCTTCGCATTTCTTGAATCCTCCTTTACCGTCGCTGCAAACGCAAACGCAACTTGCTCCCTTTGTATCGATGCAAACACATCCGCCTTTGTCGCAGCAAGAGTTGGAAGAGCATTTGCAGTCATCGCATTTCTTGAATCCTCCTTGGCCATCACTTCCAACGCAAACGCAACTTGCTCCCTTTGTATCAAAACAAACACATCCGCCTTTGTCGCAGCAAGCTTTGGAAGAGCATTTGCAGTCATCGCATTTCTTGAACCCTCCTTTACCGTCGCTGCAAACGCAAACACAACTTGCTCCCTTTGTATCAATACAGACACATCCGCCTTTGTCGCAACAAGACTTCGAAGAGCATTTGCAATCTTCGCATTTCTTAATTGCACTAGAAGAAGTACTTATAGATGACTTCTCGGCCTGCTTGTTGCAATCGTTCTTCTTTCCTTTAGAGCAAGACATGATGTACTTTGTTATACCAATATATCCTTTTTATATAAAAAACAGGTCTCAAGGTAACAGAACGGAATCTGAAAAAATAAAGAGTCAATTGTTATTATCCTAAAATTTATGTATTAGTCTAAAATACTTCGACAATCGAAGTACGAATATGAGATTGTTGAATAGCAACTGTACAAATATCATAATAGTGATCAGCCATCATTTAAAGTTATTATTAATTCATTAATATTTATTTAAATACATTACGAGTATATGGCAGTATAACACATTATTTATTAGTCTCTAGTTAAATACAAAATGGCTAATTGACTTTAATAAATAAAAATAAAGTAAAAGTGAGAGTTACTTTTATATTTTAATCATAGGTCTATTGTTTTTCGGTACTAACAGTGACAGTTAAATTCTGATTGCCCTACATGCGGCATGTTCTACTGATTAATGTCATTTACAGACTATGTCCTGCCCGATTTAAACTAATAATGACTCAACAGGATTCGAATCCAAGAGCTCTCGCTTTTCGCAATGTGATTAACGATGTAAAAGGTACACTCAGTAACTATTAAACTTAGAAATTAAATGTTTAATACGATGAGAATAGAAAAGGATATATTACTAAAGTTTTCTCGCGATAATTTCGCCGTTATACAAGAACTCTACAGCAAAATTCTCACAAACAAAACAATAGCTGTTATCTACTCACCGCGCTCAACTACTGTGCCGCGTCAGTTGCTCGTCACTAATTTTTTGTGATAACCGCTGATAAGTGAACCACGTATTTATACCATATAAATCTCCGTGTGCAAACGGTCATGTTTTGTAACGTGCGCAGTCAAAGTCGAGCGCAAAAGCCGTGTGAACTCTAAAGTGATGACGTCATTTCTAGAATTTTCTATAGGTTTTGATATTTCATCATCTAATCTGGGTTTCATCATTAAAGTAAAGGACCCAATTTCGCTTCAAAATGTAAAATCCTTCATCTCCTAAATGGGAAGGGGTTTAAATATACAGAAATATGTATATTTACAGACAAATATTTAAACCAAACAACTGAGTACATAATACTACATTATTAAAAATACATCCTTAGGATACATACATAAATGTTTAGGACATTTTCATATTTAGGTTTAATTACGCCATATTTACTACCATTTTGTTAATAAAACATTTTTAACGGTTAAATCCGTGAAATATATAATTGTTTATGTTATATTGTTGAAATTGCCTTATTTTCATTTTAAATAGATAAACGTCTTTCAATTCGCATTTAAACAGTTAAATGCGTTCCATTTAAATGTGTACTACTCGCGTAAATTACAAACCATACTCAAAACTTATAATTTTTATATTTACTATAAAAAATTAATTAAATTATGTGACTTCACTACTACAGAGTTTTTGCCACGAAGAGTCGATTAGTAGTTCATCAGATTAGTATTTTAAGCTCTAGATTAGCTCTTACTTATTATTAAACGACAATTGCTTTGTTGAGAATTAGCCAATTCTACTTTAATTTATTTGCATCTGTTATAACTTTTAAAGCCTTAAGTAGGCGGTGACTTGCCTTGAAAATTAAGTTTGTCTATAACAAAATCCATTTTGTAGACGTTACGTCATTAAAGTGTTATCGCAATGTCTTTTAAACAACTTTCAAAATCGAAGATATTTTCTTCAAAATGTATCATTGAAAGATATTCTTATGTTTCGAAGAATATATAAGTTTTAAAATTAATCATTAAATTAACAGAATTGACAGTTGTGTTCGTCTAGCGGTGTGAACCGAGAAGAGATCTGGACCTAATAAACGTAAATCGGATTCATTCGAGGTCCAGAGTTCAATCCTCGATAGTATAATAAAATAATGGTCTTTGATGTATTCTTGTTACCATAGTAACATATTCTGCAACAAACAAATGTACAAAGAATTGTTTCATATTCTGCCGATATCATACGACCAGCTTGGAGGGCGAATACTTTTAAATGGAAGGCCCAAATCCCAGCTTTGAGAACTCAGTGTGAGTGTGGGCTCATCACGAAGCAGATGACAAATGTTTTCAAAAACAAATTAATCAATTTTGGCAACAAGTCACACGGTTAAATAAAACGCTTTAACGGTTTAAAACACGATATATTAGTTAAATACTGTCTATAGTTTACGCGAGTAGTAAACATTTAAATAAAACACTTTAACGGTTTAAAACGCGATATATTTTGTTGGACTCCTTAGTGTAATGGTATCAATGTATGGCTATCAACGGGTCATAGGTTTGACCTTTACTGGGTCGAACATTTTTCCAATTAATTTATAATTTTTCTGAAACACGTTGGACTTTGTCTGGAAATCTGGACATTAAAAAGGTAGGAATATCGGCTTCGCGCGAACCACCGTCCACAGATGAAAAAAGCCGTGACGATTAACCGCGTTTCATTTTCAGTCTGTGGATTTCCGAATAACTAAAGCCAAAATAGGTCGACAACACGTCTTGTTTAGATGTTATATGTGTGTTTCAGCTATCACCAAATGGGCCATTTGCTTATCTGTCCTCCTCTATAATTAAAAAACACATTTCATAACTTTACAAGTTACAGGTTTTTAACACAAGACTGACACACTTTTTATTTGTGTTTATACGTAATTGACTTCGCGTATAATTTGCATATTCCGTAGGCGTAAACCAAAGTTAAATGTCGCTTGTACAGACAGGACGTACATACATTTCGCACATAGTAATGTGCTAATTGTCCTCCTTGCGCTTTAAATAGATTAAAAATGCAATTACTCTAAAGTAAGCAATAAAACATACGAGGGCGAGTTTTTATTTATATTTTTTTATTAACTTTTATTTAACACTGGCGTGAGTTATTTGCTTTACTGTATCTCACTGTCTGTCTGATCTGTTGCTTATTACTCGGGATTCGAATTTAGAATATTTAATGCTCAAGACGTAAACGGTCTATGCAACACGAAACAAACTCTCCAACTTTATAATATTTTGTCTAGTATTGTATTATCCGAATACTGCATACTACTATGGCGGAGAAGGGGGGGCGTCGCTTCCGTCCCTTGATGTGAAGCACATGCCAGGTGCTTTCCCCTATTATACACTCATTTAAATTTATTTCTTCTTCCTTTTTTATTTAATTTAGTTACTGAGCTAATATTTCAGTTATTTACGTCTTGTGAAATAAATGCTTTGACTTTGAGATTTCAATATACATAAGTATTTATGTTACTTAGGTACTTTTCATCTTCGTTGAACGAACGAAACATTATGTTTCTATGAATGAAAACGCGTGGATGATGTCATGCCAGTCACCGGTTGGCTGGGCAAATTAAAATAAATTGGCTCACGGCAGAGGCTCAAAGTGGGCCAAGCCAGTGTCGGGATGGGAACAGGGCAATCTTACTTTCATCGGTTCACCTCACGACGTGACCCCGAGAAACATTTCGACTACTACGGTCCATTGTTTTTAAATTAATTGGGATGACGTTAGATGGATATGTCTATTTAGGTAGAACTGTTTATTTAAATAAAACACTTTAACGGTTTAAAACGCGATATATTAGTTAAACTTATTTTAAAATGATTTTTAACTTCGGCCCGACGTTTCGGATGCTTTGCAGCAGCCGTGGTTACGGGGAGACATAAGTTTAACTAATATATCGCGTTTTAAACCGTTAAAGTGTTTTATTTAAATGTGTACTACTCGCGTAAACTATAGACAGTAGAACTGTTTATCCTTTTACTTAACAGTAACGTTTATTTTTTGACGGCCTCGCTGTAAAGGTGTTCTTTTTTTAATTTTACATTTATTTTTGTTTCTTTATCTATTTTAGACATATAAATTAACGAACTAACTAAGTAGTATAGCTAATAATCAACGGGTAGGTTTGAACCCCACCGGGTTCAACATCTCATCAATTTAATTTTTTTCTGAATCACATTGTACTTTATCTGGACACTCTGGATATTAAATGGATAATATCGAAATTCCGTGCACGAGTGAAGTGGCTGTGAAGTTATATCGGTTTCAGTCTGTGGATTTTCGAATAGCCACAACCAATAATAGAAATAGCTCGATAGCGCATCTTGTTTGGATGTTATATAGCTGGGTTATTTCGCCTATCATCACGCGAGCCCCACGCGCGTCCTTCTCTATTACAAAAAAAGAATCGATCAATAGATTGACAATATTTCAGGGAAGTACGACACTATAATAATAATAACTCGATGATCTACAACCGAATTACAAAGTATGATGTCCCGTATTCGGTTAAACGCATTGTTAGGCCTCAATTGAGTTTCACCCGACACCATAGAGGAAAATGGTAGCCATTTTCAATCAGCATTCAATAATTGGCCTTACCACCTACACGTCACGGTTCATTTGTTAATTCTTAATGACGTCACGAAGTGGCCGCAAGGCTCCTACAAGGCTGTCGTTAGCATACCAATGATCTTATTGAAGCATATCTGTATATTTACGATTGTACCTTGCTTATGCAAGTTTATAATCGCCTACTGCAAGTAAGGCTAGATTACATTTACACTAATATTGTAAAGCTGAAGAGTTTGTTTGTTTGAACGCGCTAATCTCAAGAACTACTAATTCTTATGGTAAAATTAATAAATAAAATACCACGGTGCAACCGATAGTAGCGAATAAACAATAGAAAAATAAACAGGAAAAACTAATTCATATTTGAGGAATACCCTTGCGTGCGCTTTGAAAATAATCTAAGTAATCGTCCCTTATACATGTATATTTTAAGATTAACTAGAAAGAA